AAGTTCCGTACGGGATCATCGACTTCGAAACTGCCGACGCCGCGCGCCCCCCCCCCCCCCCCCCCGTTCGCATCGCGAAGGTGAGATGAATCCACTTGTCTGACAGAATCCGCTTCCGAGATCGTGCCTCGGACCGGCTTCACGTTTCGGCGAGTAATTCGTTCCGTGCCAAGTACTTCATCTTTCTCTCTGTCCAGCGCGGAAAGATGCGGCAAAGAATCGAGAGGCTTTACCGTTATATTCACCCAACTCGCGCCGTAATTACGGTTGCCACTCGCTGTTACGGACAGTCGGCTGGCGCAATCGCTGAAATCGTTTCGCGGATCCTGCGGTGCCGTCGCTCTTATTATATACCGGTCGTATTTATAGAGAGCCCGGTTGCAGCCGTCTAAATCTCGCTGATAGAAACGCGAGTTGTGAGTTACTTACCGCCGGCGTACGCGGCGGAACACGAGAAAAGTGGCCGAGAGCGAGATTATGGCGCCGCCGCGCCGGTTGCACGTACCACTGAATTACAACGGTTTGATAATGCGAAACGGGTTTCACGTGATATAACGCGGAACGGATTCGAGCATGCATTACGCTTCATGAACTTGGATGATGAACTTTATTGCCTGTCGTCGAATTATAATCTCTTTCACGCGTCTTGTATCGCGTTATATTATAACTTTTATACCTCTATTTTCGTACCGCTTCATTCCTGAATTCCTGATTTTACATTCCAAAGGTACTCTCTTTTACACGTTTCTTTCAAAATGTTGTTGTGATTATATTAAAAATTCAATTCCGTAATTATGAAAAGATCGAGCGAATTAGCGTTCTTCGAGCCAGGTGAAGGTCCTCTCTGGAAAAAATTTTCTCCGATTTCGCGGATTTGCGGATTAACGAAAAAAAAATAATAATAATAATAATAATAGTGTACGAGATGATGGATTGTCTTATTACCATAAGTGCAGCTTCATCGAGAAGCGTAGAAATTAATGGACTATTAAAGCCACGCGAGGAGTACAGACGCAAGTCTCGTTAACACGCAGCGCTTCTTCCGCTGAAGATCTATGAAAAATCCTAATCACGAACCTCGTAATTATTTCTAAGAAATCGTTTACGTCCGAATAACACAGTGAATCGTGATTTTTGTTAGAGCCAAACCTGTTTTTGTTATTTATTCGCGGCTACCGTACGCCAATACAAGTTATACAAACGAATGAAGAGGAACACATTATATTATTAACAATATTTTAAGGATGTCATCGAATATTGTGTTAATACGTAGATATTATTTTTACATTTATTTGTGATGATTCGCAGTGTTTGAAGGACCTGCGCTCTTTTGTACTGCGTGTACTGTGTGTAATAAACATGAAGGCAGCATAAATCATCGATGGCAACACGTTCCATAATTATATCCTATTCTGCTCATTTTTTCTTTCCCCTGAGAAAGGATATGATGTTTTAATCGATATAAATATAAGTTATCTCGATAATGAAATAATTGTCTCAGATAACAATACTTACCAACCGTAACTTCCAGAAGAAGCTGAGGATTGGGCACTGGACCAACTACCACTTCCTCCTCCTCCGTAACCTCCTCTATTAATGCAAAATGTTAATTAATAAAGAGTCGAACGTGAATTTATGATATAAAACTCATAATATGTTAAACCATTCAAGTATTGGCCAGTCGCAGAGTATTTGTAGATGTATATTTTTTGTAACATTTTGTAATAAATGATAAATTTACCATTGAAAACGATTTCGATTTTAACGTGGGAATGACTAATGACTTTTGATCGATGACGTATTGACTTTTGAAGGTTAATTCTTTGATGGTCAATAATTGTATGATCTTTTGTACTTTACGTTGCATTTAGGAAATTAGTATTATACCCGCAAGTGTGACAACGGCCACCTCCTCCTCCTCCATGATGACCACGATGACCTCCTCCTCCTGTAATAGGTACGACTACAACTGCTATACCCCCTCGATGCCCTAGACAAAGCATGCCCCTGTTATGCGTGGTTATGATGGAGTTTAGCTATAGCGATGTATTAATTCGTAGTTAAAAAATGTAATATTTTAGAAGTTTTACTTATTACTGTTATTATGCGTTGTAAATTTCAGCTGAAAAAAGCTAAGCGAACACATTTCTATTATTAGCAATTAATATCTTAATTGTAATATTAATTATTACCTTTTATTGTACATAAAAGTTAAGGATAATTAATTAGAAAAAGAATAAGCATTCTTCATGTTATTTCTGCTTTCTTCAATTATTTGTTAAGCATCTTAAAAGTTTTATTAGCAAATAGGCATTCTTCTCGAGTTTTTCCTAAGCATGATAAATATTATTTAAAACTTGCTTTTCTTGCTTAATAATTTATTTTTTATTTAAAATAATATATTTTTATTTAAATAAAAATTTTATTTAATACGCAATTAGCTATTGATGTCATGAAATAATATTTAAACGGAACGCAATTTACCCAAACATGCATTTCAATTCAATGCATAGTAAGCTGCTCATTTTTATAACAATGAATATTTTGATGCAAATTCTCGATAATATTAACTTATTACTGGTTTGACGTAATTATATATTTTAGTCATATATAACCAAAATCTGGATATCAAATTAGTTAAAAAATATCATTTTTACTACTTATTTTTGAAACTTAGCTTCCTGAAAAATATTGTACCTATAATCAGTTATTTTATCAATCTATAGTTGTAATGATATTTTTCAATCAGAATATGATTTATAATGAAAACAATGGAGAGTTATGGGGCATACTTTTATCAAGAGATAAGTATTAGTTTGATTAGTTTGATCTTTTCCTTCTTCTTCTCCTATT